AGGGCGCCCTCATCTGGAGGGGGGATGGATGTTGCCTTCTGGGCATATCAGGGGATCTGCATCCGCTGATCGGTACTTTTCTGTAGCAGTTGTAGTCTTGGTATAACATAGGCCCTGGTAGTGGTCCTGGTAGTGCCTGCAGCAAATCGTCCAAGCCTGTTTCGCAAATCTACCTTTTGCAACTAATGCCAGGGACTATGTACAGGATAAATAATAACTTCGAGGTGGTTTGTGAGGACTGCGTCAACTGCCAGGACTGGTCTGCTAACTAACGGCAAATTTTGGTTCTGCGCCGAGGTTTGAACTTAAAATTTTCCCTTACCTTAGCTTTCGGCCCATACTTTGGACCTATGATTTCTATGCTTGAAACAGTAAAGTTCTGAGTAAGCCTACGAATAAGGGTACGGCAGGGTGGTGGGTGAAGTCCGAGGGTCCTTTCGAGGGGAAAAATGAAGGAATTGTACTATCCGTGTGTAATGATGTAAGTACAATTCAGGAAATAATGGCATTGATAACAAATGAAACGTATACTCCTTTAATTTCTAAGCCATGGTTGCCACCTTGTTGTGATGGAGAATGCGTGGTACATCGGCTGTGTGGCACGTGCGGTATCATTTGTGAACGCAATTCCAACAATCGTCCGGAATTGGACATTCAATCTCTGGATTTGGACTATATGTGAATGCACCCTTGGCGTCCGCAAATCGGTTTTATACCAGGAAATCGCGGCTGGTAAGGGCAGCAGGGTTACAGAACTGGAAAATATTCAATAAGGACCGGACGAGAGGCCAACAGAAAGAATGAAACAAGATGGCCAGCCGACCAGCAGTGGCCAGACGTCTGCTATATACGTTCCACAGCGTATAGCATTGACCACCCTTATTTGGTAATGCTCATGCAAATGCTATAGGCGATAATGTCATTGTTCTTACCATAAAACTGTCATAACTGTCCGATTTTATCTTGAGCACAGCACCCTTGGGGAGTGTAATGCACGGCCCACCTGATATGTAAGGCGGAAAATTGTCGTAAATCGAAGGATCAGACGGCAAATTCCATTAGGTGTGCATGTTCGCAATAGTGCAAGCTTGTAATTCAGCTGAGTTCTAGACCTGTTTTATCCTTATGACAGTGGCTGGGGGAATTGGCATCGTCTCCGTAATCCCTCGTTCCATTTGCATGCAGGCTTCCATGTAATATGTGCTGCAACCGCCAAAAAGGGTTATTGGGGAATGCCGCTGCACCCTGGCCTTGTGGATGAAAGCATACAACCTCACTTAAATGTCGTTGGCGACACGGTTTGTCATGAGAACTACCTGACCGCTCACTTGGTGCTGCATCTACACAAGCGCCACAATTTGAACGCCATCCGTCCGTGGCTCCCCTTTGTAAATGCATTGGTGAGGTGCTGCATCTCGGCTGGTCACATTCGTAGTCGCACTGTGATGGGAGCCGAGGAGTCCAGAAGCTATCTGCCAATTCGCACTTGTTTTGGTCATTGCACTCTTGTCCTATCTATAAGGCTTTAAGCTATGCTACCTGCACCAACAGCTGTAAGGTTGGGGGGTTGTTGCAGGATGAGATCTTTAGGATGACTGCCTTTCAACTCCTTTTCATGGGGGGATTTTCAGGCTGGTCCACTATGATACCTGCAGGCACCGCCAACGCCACCGTCACGGACGCTGGTAAATGGAGCTGCGCTGACCGCCTTGTCTGCTTCACCTGTCACCAAGACGAATCAACCTCTCCTAGGTCCTTCTCTGTCCTCTGTCGCCGAGTCGCAGAAGTTGCTGACCCAGGCTATTATCATCCGCTCCGTTGAAGGAAAGACCTCTCAAGTTACTGCCAAGGGCCCGACCTGGCTTTGCAACCTCTCACGCCTCGATATGGACCTGGAGCACATTACTAGCCTTCTGGGCCTGGACTCGCTTTGCCCAAGGCTGCGGACGTTATCTGCTGATGCGAATAGGCTGTCCTCCTTGGAGGGGCTGGCAGGCTTAACACGGCTGCAGGATTTGTCGTTGAGGCAAAACCACTTAACAAGTCTGCTGCGGCTGGAAGGCGGCCAAGTGGTGCGGATGGCAATGGCCTTGCCCATGGGAAGGAGCTTGCGACGGTTGGCTTTGGATTACAACAGGCTTTCAGGCCAGCTGAAGGGACTTAGTGGTTGCAGGTACGTGGGCAGGTTTGGCTGAAGCAGTTGTCGGTGGTGAATAGAGTAGGACTTGAGGGGCTATCAGGACAATGTGAACAATTGCACGTTTTACGCAATAAGCGATGCTAGCGTAGTACCTTCTGAACCTGTCCTTTGAAAAGTTTTGGACCCGCCGGTCTGACCGACCGACACTGCAGCACAGTTCCCCGAAATCTGCCGTAGATGCCTAAAAGTTCGCCGAGTAGCTCAGTAGCTTCTTTTGCGTACCAACATCTAAAACCATATTTCTTGTCTCTCGAATACGGGTACGTACACCGTTGCAACTGCACCGGCTCTTTTGAGACGCGTGACCCAGCCGTCACAGCGTTATGATCACCGTCATTTTGCAGTGTATTTTAGCGCAGTGCTTCAGCGGATTAGTCGCTTGACGTTGAGCCGTTATGCGAATAGACCGACTGTGCGCGTTCGTTTTGCTAAAGCCCGTGTCGACTGCACTTATGGCTATTACAGTATTGCCATTATATCTGCTCCGGAAGATTTGCTTTAAAGCATTTCCTGCAGCCCTCACGCGGCATGCGATGAGGGCAACCACTTTTGCTTTATCTGCTGAAGCATCATTATATGCATATCCCAGAGATGTCTGGCGCCTTTCTAATAATGTTGGGAAAAACACGTCGGGACTCCTCATTTTATATAGGCTCATTTCCGTGTTTAAGGAGTGTGCAGCTATGCGCGGCAACCCACACCTCAATTCTTTCTAGTAGGGTAGTGTAAGTAATGGAGCTGTTCCAAGAAGAGCTGCGTGATGGTAAGTTAAAATGGAAACTGTCAACATGGAAATATGGTTCTCAACATATCATTCGAAACCCTTCGAGTACCTGATCAACCCATGTCGTACAGAAAACTTTCCCTAGCTTGTACATCTCAGTCCCTGAGTTATAATTATGTCTACTGATTTCAGAACGTTAACTGGAATAGAGTAAGTTTGAGTTACAAGTTCCGCACAAATGCACGGGGCGTCCGTAGTAGCCGGGGGCCCAATGGACGGAGTGACGTTGACTTCCCTGGCTCGGCGCGCCTAAACGCGATGTGCTGCTGGTCTCGGCGACTTTCGAGGGAAAACTAACCACAGCTACAGGGGGTCCTTCCCCCATAAGAGTACACATTTCGCGCCCTCGGAAGCCAATGTTCCCCTCGTATTTATTAGGGCCCCACAGGCGGGGCATTCACAAAAGACATGGGGCTCATCCTCGACTTCACCACACACTAAGCCTATAGGTACGCATGGCATGCTGGCGGCCATTAGGCCTGTTAAATTCCATCACAACCTTATCTGAAACACATGAGCATCTTGTGCGTTGGCCTAGGCAACACAGCCCCGGTATGAGCGAGCAACACCAGCCGTGTGCCTTACCAGGAGATGCTCCCGTCCAGTCCAGATATCGGCATGCCTTTACCCTGGTGGCTCCGGCGAAAAAGACCCGTGGGTCGGCGAGGGTGTTAGCACATGTCCACCTCACATTGAGCCGCTTAGAGAACCCTATTAGAATATCACCAATGGTAGCATAATCCTCACCCTGTGGGCCCTCAAGGGCTAACGCCCCAACATTGGCCAGGACCTTTCCTGACCAGGATCTTTCCTGACCAACCATCAGTGATACCCTCGACCGCCAGCCCAAGGTCTGAAACGAATGCTCGGTAGCACATAATGCCGGGCTTCTTCATTCACCACGGAGTTCGTTCCAAAACATAATAACAAAGTTAGCCCAATGGAACTGCAGTGGCCTCTGAGATAGCTCACGGTAGAGACAAATTATGGTAGGATTTCGTGCACCTATTAACATATTGCATGAATGCACGCTGTTCCTTGACCATAGGGTTAGTAAGGGGACAATTTCACTTCAGTTCTTATCCTCCGTACAGCTGAAAATAACGAAACACCTTTGACGTGCCGCCCCTTCCCGTGCTTGCCTAAATGGCCAGTGGACTGGAGAGCTTAAGCTTGGCCAATAATGCTCTTACTGACTTGGGCTCAGAGCTGGAGTCGTGTGCATCGGTCTTATCATCTCTATCTCTAAGAGGCAATCACCTGACGTCATTGTCAATGCAGCTGGTGTTGCTCACCAGCCTGCGGGTGTTGGATGTCACCAGAAACCGCCTCAGCTCCTTAGAAGGTATACAGGTACGTTTTGAGCTAGCAGCTTTCTGCTCGGTGCAGAGCAGAAATGGTTGGTCCTGTTGTGTACCGTTGTGCAATGTAGATGCGACGGTGTGGTTACGCCGCAGGTTGGTGGGCCTGGTCAAGCGGTAGCAGCAATACTAGGTCATTTTTAGCGTATTCTTTAGCGTATTCTAATATTTACAATATTAGACAATATTTACAATATTTACAATATTAGACAATCTCTATATTGTAAATAGGGTCTAGTAAACTAGACCCTATTTACAATATTGTATTGTCTAGTGTAATTTTAGTAAACTTAAATTACACTAGACAATCTCTATATTGTTATTGTATACTGCTGTAATTTTAGTAAACTAGATAACTTGTATTATAAAAACTTCGGGGATGACATTTGCGTAACTTAAAGTATGTTCAAATTTTTCAAACTGAATAAGTTTCGTGAACAAGCTGGAATAAATACAATTTAAATAACAAGAATTTTTATAACCCAATCTTAATACATATCGGGGGAACGCCGTATGAGTTCGAAAGTCTCACGTACGGTGTGGCAAGGGGGGAAAAGGTGGAGATAAATTCAAATCCTTACCTATCCGTATTGAATAGTTTGTCAGTTTGGGCTTGGACGTTTTTATTCGGCCATTTAATCTATGCAACAGGTTCATGTTCCTAATTTCTTGGCGTGGTTACTGGCAAGAACTTATTGAAACTTTAGTATGGGCACACGAAAAAACTCCTTTAGCTAACCTTGTTTATTGGAAAGATATACCAGTTGCTCTGTCTATTGTACAAGCACGTTTAGTAGGTTTCGCTCACTTCTCAGTTGGTTACATTTTTACTTATGCTGCATTCTTAATTGCTTCAACATCTGGTCGTTTCGGTTAATTTTTTAATTTTATTTTGAATATAATTTGAATATAATTTGAATATAATTTGAATATTAGCGGTCATGCCTTTTGGCAAGGCCGGTAATATTTTTAGTTGTTTAGTTACCTAAAAACAAGAAAAAACGATTCGTTCAAAAGAGCATTATTAGTCGTTCAAAAGAGCATTATTAGTATATGCGCCGGATGGTTACGTTGCTAATTTTACTTAAGGAGTTGTTTGTAGTTTTTAAAAACTACGTTGTAGTTTAGTTGTTTAAGCTCCAGCGTGCAAATAAAATACATGGTATCTTATATTAACCGGCCGTAGGACAAGTGGGACAAACGCGGAAAGGCATGCCAGCTGCATGTTTGGCTTCGTCCCCTAAAGGGGAACTATAGGGGAACCCCCTTCGTCTTCCCCTTTAGTGTTCTTCCCCTAAAGGGGAACCCCTTTAGTTCCCCTTTAGGGGATGAAGGCATCCCCTAAAGGGGAACCAAAGGGGAAGAAGGGGGGGTTATTCCCCTAAAGAGGAACTTTAGTTCATCTCCTTTAGGGGAACTAAAGGGGAAGAAGTCCCCTAAAGGGGAAGAAGGGGTTCTCCTTTAGGGGATGATTTCCCCTAAAGGGGAAAGACGTCATAACAAGTCCCCTCTGGTTTCAAATTAGAAATGCTTACTACAAACTTAAAGTACAAAGAAACCTTTAGTTCCCCTTGCTTAATAAAGTTAAAACTCGGCGGGTGATGACTGTAAGATGATTGCATGGCCAGTCGTACCCAAAATTCAGTTTGACACATACGTGGATGGATGTGTGTTTTGACTATACAGGGTGCCCAGTGCGTACGTGGAAATTGCACGAATACTCGCCCTGGTATCACGCAGGGCCTCTTCATGCTGCAATCGCTGCGTGCCACGGGCAACATGATCGTGGATGTGCCCAAGCCGCTAAGCCTACCATTTCTGCGATACTTGGATCTAGGCGAAAACATGCTGACAGCTTTCGGCAGCTGTGGAGATGATGCAGGAAGGCCCCAAGTCGTTCTCCCGTGCCTGGAGCGCTTGATATTGCAGCAAAACAATATCTCTCTTCTAGGCCCGTTGGGGGCTATGCTTCATCTGACATTGTTGGACCTCTCGTTCAATAACATCGCGTCCTTTGATGCCTTGCATGCATTGGTCCAACTACCTGGCCTTCTCTCCCTGAACATCAGCAACAATCCTGTGGTAGCCACAATGGCGCATGATCTCGGGTCTCTGGCGATGCTGCGAAGTGGAATGGATGTTTTTTCCTGGCATTTTCCTGGGAGGAGGCTCACTAACAGCTTTCCTATGCTACCTCCGTTGCGAGAGCTTGGACAGAGCATTCTGGACCCGTTCCATCGGCTAGAGGCTGCTGTAAGGCCTATTTCAAAGTCACCAGTCTGGGCTATTTCTGGGGCTCGACAAACACGATCAGGGGGCTTCCGTTGTGTTGTGCATGATTCACCTGGATCATATGCGGCTACAAGTGCCCACTGGCATCAGGGCCTCACTGGAAATCATCTATGCTGGGCACAGCCAGATGGTCGCGGTACAAACCGGCAGTCTGAGCACATTGCTGGCGCCTTAGGGGATGACCCGGCAGCAGTAAAGAGCATATTTATTGCTGGAATGGAATCTCAGTTCAGCATTGCAGCCGGATGCAGCATTCATACAGAGGCTGCCTCACACACACAAGTAAAATTGGGGCCGATGGCAGCGTGTACGACTTGGACGGGTCCGAAGCCTGCAACGACGAGCAGTATCACCGGTTTCACCACCGACATGTCCATCCGGATGGAGCATGCTCTGCCTGCGACAATATGGTTGGCAGGCATGGGCCATCTTTGGCAAACCACGGCGCCGTTTGAAACCACTTACTTACATTTAAGGCAGCTTAGATTGGCACAACCTTCAGGGCTGCCGGATGACAGAGAGGCTGATGCCTATACCGTTGCACTGCTGCAAGGTGGCGCCAAGAAGTTATCAATGTCAAATGCATATGGATGCATGCTTCCTTGGGCAGATGCAGTAGATGTTGCAGCCCTGCGCTGCTTTCGACCCACGTTTCGATCCTTTCAGTACTTGGCCTTTGCTCGTACTTCGTGCACTGGTCCAGCATCCCTTGCCGTGAATACCCACTGTTTGCCAGAAGCTGCCTGCAGTGAAGCACCTTTCCTGGCGTTGGATGCGGAAGCACAATGGCGCTTTGAAGCGTCAGTATCCACTACTGGGCACCTGCTTGCAAGGAAACTTCAATGGCTGTCACAATGGCAATCCATGGCGGGCATAAAAAACCCTCGTGTATCATTGAAAAATGAGTTTCGGGCGCTCCTAGCCGCTCAGCCGTCATACTTCGTTCTTCGTATGCGCCAGCATTCCAATGCGGTACCGTCTGCCATCCAGGCATCCTGGCGCGGGCTGCATGCACGGCGGAGTATTCTACCCCACTTAGCAGCATGGAAAGCCCAGGTAAGCCATTTGGACTTGTCTTCTCAGGATGCAAGTTGTACTTTGATTTTACAGTCAGCACTATGGCTACCAGGGTGCTTAGGCTACACATATCAAGGTCTGGCTTAACTGAACGAGTGTGCTCCTGACTTCCTACAGTCATTGCGAACAGCTGCGGCGCGCACCATCCAGGTGTGGTGGCGATGGCATCACCGGGGGATGGCTAGGTTGCTTTTCCCTTTACGTGGAGAGCAACAACTGATGGATTGGCACCGGCGGGAAGCGGCAGCAACCATCATCCAAGTAAGGACACGGAAGAATGGCGATAGATGTGGCGCTGTATGATACCCCAGAAGGACACGAATGTCAACGTGTGGGGCTTTCTTAAATGCCGTCTATCCTGTCTCCTGTGCAGGCCCACTTCCGTGGCTACCTGATACGGAAGCGATTACACACGGCCCTAGCTGCCGTGAAACTACCACCTGGTTCCATCAAGGAGGATGATCAATTTGTAGACAGTGACGAATTCGAAGATATGTTGCACAAGTTTTTGTCGCCTCTTCAGGAGGTTTTCACCGAGGAGACATATTCCAGCCAGACATCCACATCGTACCCAATGCACTCTCATGTACCTTGGGCATTGGCCGACCCGGTTTACAGCTTGCATCATAAACGGCTATGTAGTTTTGAGGATGCTTTGCAGGCACTGGGTCGCAATGAATTAACCGCCCAGGCAGGAGTACAGCACACCCTTTGGGGCCTACCAGGTTCTAGTCGAGATGCTCTGCATGGACCGTCCTTACAGCCACGAGGCATGAATGAGTGTACACCACACGGCGTGCACCGGATTCCATACCCCGGTACAGTCCAGCACAGCCGACCTGGTGATATGAAACCAGCTCTTGAGCAGCATGCTGTTTTGGGGCAGCCATTGCGGCCTATTACCTCTGTTGCTGCAGTGTCGCCTGGATCTTTACCCTCCCGCTTTCTTCCACCAATCTCAGTTATGAACTCCAAGCGTCGGAGTACTCAACCATCATTACCAATGCGGCTGCCATGTTATGGTGACAACATGGCGCACTTATCTCCAAAGCGTCTTCCAGAGAATTTCCTTGTTTCGGCTGCCTGCAGCAGGGCGCAACACAGAAGCAGTAGCTTTGAGATCGCCAGTGGGTCCATGCATGCTGAACATGGCGCAGAAATGACACCTACTGACAAAAGGTATTATACAGGGTAGTGCTTGAAAGGGGTTGCCTCGACCTTGTCATTAGCACAGTCTTAAAGGTGAGGTATGTATGTGGGAGGATCTTCAGTTCTAGCATTAATTAGAGACTGCGTTTTGACCTGTCTGGGCACTACAGCCACTGATATACAGCTACAGTGCTGTGGGCCTTCATATGTACGGGAGCTGGTGGAGCTAAACCTTCGTCATGTTTGCCCTCAGCATTGTCTTGCAGCACCACCAGCGGGAAGAGCGCCTACAAGAGCTTGTGACCGAGTGGGGCTTCAAGGATTTGGGGACAGTGGAGACTTACTATCGCCGATTGCAACGTCATAAGCAGGGCCGTGAACGATGGAAGTCTCAGGTGGGTCGGCTACATACTCATTAGGATTGCAAGGTCATGTTTCAATTGCGTGAACGTGAGACTATTCTACAGGAAGTGGCATTCCATCCAGCTTATTCTAATCGTGCGTGCCTCAATGGTGTAGGTAAAACACCAAGATTGCTGGCAGCATCATTTGCTAGCACATAATAACCAGGCTGCTGCTGAAAGCGGCGTTTCACGGCCATTTCCAAGAATGCAGCTCAACAATCCCTGTGAGGTCGGTACTACAGTCATCAGAGAAGAAGTGCAGCGCAAAATCAGCAGTGCTGGCGGTATCCTGTTCTATGGTAACGATGCTCCAGTTGGTGAAGTATTTCCGCGTTCGGATTGTTGCTCCAGTCAGGGCTGTCATGAAGGTTTTCCATCCACAAGCAGCGGCAGGCAGCTGATGCCTTTGGGTGCTGCTGGCGTAAGCAAGCCGTCGGCACAGCGACCCCATCGTTTACCAACCTTGTAAGTAATAATTGGATTGTGCCCTCCACTCTGCAGCCATCACAGCGAAGCGTGTCTAGAGGGCTCGTTCGGAGAGACGTACACTGATGAGGGGCAGTGCTAGCGGTGAATCCATGACCGCCATGGGCGATCCGGTTGGTCGACTTAAGTGAAGTCTTAAGTTTCTAGCCGTGCAAGCCGAAACAGTACGCGCTGGTTGTGAAGGCTTTGTTTCTTGCGGTCTGGGGAGTCTAGATAGGTGTTTTGCTGGTCCGTTTTAGCCGAGCAGGTGAAATGAGGATTGCAATTTCCTATATTGCTTTTGATCAAGGGAAAAGAAGAGAGGTACACTAGTGGATACGGAGGCATGAATAATAATATTGCAAGTTGCATGATAAGTACGGCAAAGTGAACGTGTAAAAGTTTTTGGGACAAGGGATCTAGGAATACGCTTTACAGCTGATGCTTTATGAGCAGACCACAACGTGCAGAGGGATGCAAAAGGGGTCTA